CCCCCCCAATTTTTTTGCACATGTCGAGGAGCGTGTCAGGCTACATTTCACTGTGTGTTATACTTGTATAACTATGCATGTGACAAATAAAGAACCTTGAACCTTGAACCTATAGCTACTTACTTGTGTGCTTGTATTCTCCAAATAAATTCATACCCAAGTTCAGTGAAATGCAAACTTTCTCAGCCTTGGCTCTCTTTAGCACTTTCTAAACCAATAAACAGAGTAAGCGAAACAGGTTTCTGGGCTCTTGGAGGCTATTTGGAATAGCCTGAATCTGTAAAAGCATTTTCCACTGTCCATCTATGGATTTAATTTGAGTGAGACCTTTCTTGTAACATTTTGACTTCTTTTCCACAAATGAGGTGTCTAACATTGAACTGGTTTCACGCACTTCACCAAGAAAAAGACTAGTAGTGTCACCACAAAATTGCTAGGCCAAGTGTTATAACCACTGAAGTCAGTGGCTATGGGAGAGGCTACTGCAAGAGATATAATTTCCAGATGGCTTCCAGCAGATTTTCTCTACCGTGATTTTTCTTCTCATGGAAATTTTCCCTACTTTTGCTGCATAATGCTACGTGATCCTGCATCACATTAGATTCTCAAACCCATCCAACTGTGTGATAGTTCTCAAAAGACACCAAGAGAGACTAGCCCACCACAAGGATAGTTTGTGGAAATTGTGTACTAGCGAACAGAAATTGTTCTGAGGACTTAAAAATTGTAGTTAAATTGGTATTATGAAGTGTACTTAATAACAGGTTTAGACTGAGGCATATTTAATATTTCATGAAAAAAATAGCAATAACCCGTCTCCAAAAACTTGGGATAGACCAACAATAAGCTGAAAAGTAAGTGCTACTAAAAAAAGAAAGCCCTGGAGAATAACATTTCAATTAAATAGTTTATAAATGCCATCAGGTGTCATGGTTCGGAGTTTTGACCGTGTTTTGAGTTTTTGTGCTTCGTGCTTCCCTGTGAAGTCCGTCTTGTCTCCATGTTTAGTTGCCTGTTTCTCCAGTCATGTCTCTGTGTGGTTTTTCTCTCCCTTTCGCCCTCTCCATTCCTCGCTCTTTCAGCCTTGTCCCCCCTGCTCTTATCTCTGTCTCATTCCTCTGTTCCCTGTATTTAGTCAGCCGTGTTTCCTTGCTGTTTCCTCTCTGCCCTGATTCCCTCTGTTATATATATCGCCTGTGTCTCCTCCTGTGTGTTCTGTCAGTTAGTTTAGATTTCTAGAGCCTTCCCAGTTTTAGTTAGTGTGTTTTGTAATCAGCCGTTAGCTACCTTTAAGTTTAGTTTTTGTCTTTGAGTCCTAGATTTTGTGTCCTATCCTGCCTTGCCTCACACTGTGTTCTGTGTGAAATCTGTGTGCAAGGAACAAGTTAAAAAAATGACAATCACATTAGGAGCAACCATGATTCTTTAATGGAAATCACTGCATGAATTCAGGAATGCTTCCAGAAATCACTGTCTGTGAACACAGTTCAATGTGCCATCCAGAAATCGAGAATAAAACTCTAGTATGCAAAGAAGCCACCATGATCTAGAAATGCATTTGTCTTGTCTTGGCCAAATGAACTAAAGCACAGTGGAAAACTGTTCTGTCATCGGATGAACCAGAATTTAAAATGTGAAACCCTGCATTCTTTGGATTTAAGAGGAGAGGGACTATGTTGTTATCAACGTTCAGTTCAAAAGCATGCATCTCCAATGGCATGAGGGTGCATTATCGCCTTTAGAGTTGGCAGCTTGCAAATCTAGAAAGGCCCCATCAATGTGTATATACTGTATATTTATTATCTCACTCTTATTGCCTGTTTATGCCCTGTCCTTATGTTAAACGTCATGCTATTACAACAGCTAGCTTAATAGCTATGCTTAACCTGACCTGCCTACAAATCAGACCTTTCACCAATCAAAAACATTTGATGCATCATAAAGTGAAAAATATCGCAAAAGAAGACGCAGGATTGTTAAGCAGCTAGAATCCTTTTTGCTGCCATCAAATTAACAATCATCCAGTATTTTTCTCATAAGAGAACAAATTTTTTTATATATATTTTCTATATTCTGCTGTGAGTAAATCATTGGTTTATATTTGTAAATTATTGTATTCTGTTTCTATTTACATTTTACAGCATCCTAATAGTCACATACTGCTAAAGAGAGTACTGTGAAAAGAGACCGGGCAAAACTGATTTGGGAATCGTGGTTGTAAATCAGCTCCAGGTTTCAATCCTACACAGTCGATAGTACTTTGTTCCTCGTTGCTCGTTTGCATTCAGTGTTTGTCTTAGTACCTTAAAATAAAAACATGTCTTCATTGCTGACTGTTGCTGTCTTAGAGTTCATAAAAGTGTAATCATTTACACCAAATCCCACCCATCCCCATTAAACAATGGATGTACTTTGGCCTAAAGTAAGCAATGAAAAAGCTCTCTGTCCTCTTCTGGATCTTTTTTTGCTTTTGGCCTCACTCATGTCCAAAGCTTAATTGGATACTCCAATTGCTAACTGAAACCATCTCTACACAAAAGTCTTTATGTTCAAGGGAGGATTGATTGTATCGGACAGGCAGCATATTGTGCTCATATGTAACTGATACAGAAGAGGTGAAAGGGCAATGTGGTTTTCAAAAGCCTTCTCATCAACAAAATGCTCCCAAATGCAAGTGGATGAAATACAAAGTTTCCTTTTTTGACCTCTTCTACATACTCCCAACTCCCTAATTACTTTATATTTTTGTGGAAGTCATTCATTAAGCTCACAGTTTGCTTACTCTGCAGCTAGAAAGCCTAGTTTATAATGGGTTCATAGAAATGCGTGTTTAGCTTCACCAGAGTCCTTGCCTGTGCAGTCAGTAGGACAAAATCTTAGCAAAGCGAACAGTTCGCAGGTTTAATTTCCTGCCGAGGCCTTACATGTATATATAGCCTATAATATAGTCCACGACACAAGACGATGTGTTGCAATTGGATAATGAGTGGGTAGCTCAGAGGGAGCAAAAGGAGAGAAAGACACTGTAATTACATAAGTTTTCCTTCCCAGTGGGACACGAGATCATAGTGATCTAAACTGCTCTATGCACCCAACCGCTTGTTAACCAAAAACCATCTAACATTTTAATTGTCCCAAAAGAATGGGGTCAGAACTTTGATGTGATCCTTTGATTTTTTTTTCTTCCTGCTACCTTTTGGCCATGTTTTCTACTGTCACACTATAACAACAACAGGGTTTGTTGACGTTTACTTCCCTGTATGCAGAGTCTTATGATTACCATTCGTCATGTTTTTAAAACAGAAACCCAACATAATGATCGACACTTACGAGGTGATATTAAAGTTCTCTGGCAGATCTTTAAATGGAGACGTAAGAGCTTCTTATGAGCTTCTTTGAGCTCATAATGCTGATGATGCACAACAATGTTTAACGATATCCCTGCCTTGAACCTTAATCTCAGATTACAATGTCATAGGCCTCTTGCCATTAGGTGTGGCCTTTAAGTCCAGGCACATTATGGCTTTCCATGCTGTGTTTAAAGGATCATGTCAGCTTTATACATAAGACAAGAGGCCAATAAGTAAGAGGCAGCGAAACATACTTGTCCTTTAAAAGATGGATAATAGTCATATGCTGTTGAGAAAGAGTTGCGTGGTGATGAAAATCTGATAATTTTGTTTTGGATGATGGTGAGAGATGACAGCTCAGACTGAGTTTTTGTTATAATAAACCATCCTCACTTTTTAAAATAATAGACAGCATTACAGTTAATAACAGCCAAATTGAGTTTCTCACATTTGAAATCATTTGAAATCTAGTGTATCATCTTGACAAGTCTCTCTCACTCAAACATCACTGAATTCCCCGCCTCATTCAATTAAATCCATTCAATTTAAAAAAAATGCTGTGTGTGGAAAACAGCTGCACTTTGGATGTATTTTGTCTTTTTAAATTGTTATTGAACATCTAATGTGAAGTCCTTGAACAGAAAAGAAACGTCAACAGATGTGTTTGTATTATTTATTTATTTTTATATAAATTGACATGTGCAAAAGTCTTGAAACTGAAGAGAATAGTAGACTATATGCAGTTATTACTAAATACCACTTCATTGCAATTCATTTACAATTAGTATTGCTGTGCTGTGAGACAAACTGTACTGACTCAAACATTTCAAATGTGTTTACAGTACAATAAGTTATCCTTTTTGTACACATTACATACAGCTTTTGCTTTGATAGGATAAAAAGTTTATCCTTTATTCATAGCCAACTCTAAGTCTGATTCAGCACATACAGTATTAGCTCTGAACTGATAAATACCAAGTTCACCAACCAAGCCATTAGCTTTTGTTACCTCAAATCTCTTAAGAAATGTTCACTTGCAAAGTCTTCTGTATGGCACAGGAGTGATTGAGAAAATATTGCAGTTTATATATTTTTTAAGCTGCCCAAATTACAACCAAAAAAGCATTCAATATTTAAAACCATACTTTTCGGACTATAAGGCGCACTCAAAATCCTTTAATTTTCTCAAAAATCGACAGTGTCCTTTATAATCGGTGTGGCTTAAGTATTAATTCTGGTTGTGCTTACTGACCTGAAACTGATTTTATGTGGTACACGACGCTCAAAAATCTGTCAAAATATTTTAGTACGACTTGACCGTACTACTTGATGGATTGTCTGAGCATTACGACTACCGTAGTCAGGAGCCTGGCGGAGTGATACGTACTGTGCTTCCAAATAATATTGTTGTGTGTAAAAGGACCCAAAAATGGCACCTGTTAAGAGACATGCTTACAAAGCGGATTTCAAACTCAAGGCTATCAGTCATGTTTTGTTTAATGCGCCTTATAATCCTGTCCACCTTATGTATGAAAATAGACCAGTTTATTGATATTGCGCCTTATAATCCGCTCCTTAAATGTCCTAAAATAGAGTATTTTATTTATGAAAATACATATTTTGAGCCAAAAATGTATCAGTAGTAAAAGTAATAATTAAGCAGCTGAATTGCTCTTGTCAGTGTCATATTATATGAAAGTTAACGGATAATTACTGCTAATGTATTGACAAGTAATGTTTTTTTCTATCACTAATAGTATTAAACTTTATATTCATTATCAAGGTATCAATGTATAATATTTTACAAAACCAAAGATTTCTTTAAGTGTAAAATCTGAAAGGTAACCAGTTACTGGAGCTGTCCGACAAATGTGAAAGTGAAAATATCTTTCTCTGAAATATTGTAAAGTAAAGCAGAAGTGGCATAGAAGGAAAATTAAATTAAAAAAAGAAGTACGTCAAATATTTTCAAGTTGCATCATCAAGATATACAATATGGCTTATTACTATAAACACATGGGTACATGTTAAATAACTTTGACTATATGAATAGCTCCTTTCCCTCTAATTTTCTTTGATAAAAAGAAAATAGGATGTCATTTGGTTCACTTAAGGATATAAAGGAGCGTAAATTTACAGACACTATAGTCCCAATATATTGTTTCAGTTATTCCATTGTACTGAATAACAGAAATGTGTATTATAAGAGATTCAAATAGTGTAATAGGTCTATAGAAGAGATCTAAACTTATTTGAAGTTTAACATCATTATGTATGTATACATAAAGTTCAATTACATGAAAATGAATATTTTCATATAATTGAATCATTTTTCTCCCTAATTTTATAGATCACCACTTTTTTTCACTCAAGTGTCAATCAAAACGAGCCTCATGAGACTTGTGTCCTAACTCCAATTGGACACATGCATCTCACTGCGTGGTCCAATACCATCCCTCTGACCACAGGTCTTAGTCTGGCACCTGTAGATAGGCTTGTGCACGGATCCTCTCTCACTGCAGAGCCAGTCTCATACCCCAGTGGCATTGGCCCAGGCAGGGACAGAATCTAGGTGAAACATTGCTTTACCCCAGCTGTTAATGGCCAGTGTAATACAAAGAATGCCAATGATGTTCATGACGAATCCTGTCCTGGCCTGGTGGAGAAGAAAAGAATGCAGTCATTTCAAGATTTAGTTTATTGTTAACATCTGTATTTGTTGCTGAAAGTTGCATGAGAAGATCATTATCCCTAAAGTCATGAAGTATTTGAGGAAGTCCCACAGTATGTAGATTGGAATATTTCTTTAAATGTACTGTAATGTTATCTCTCAGATTTTCTTAAGTTTATGTTTTAACCCATGGAAGTGTTTTGGATGTGCCCACTCTTTTTGTATTCTACCACTTTAATATTTATGTAACGAATCCACAACAATAGTTTGATCGGAAGGTGTTAAACTTGTTTAACATTCCTGGAAAGTCGATGGCAGGGGACCTTGAGACGCAAATTCTACATACCAAACTAATTTGATTTGAAACTGTATCAGCTTGCACAGAAAATGTTCTTAATCTGACTCATCAAAAATGCCTTATAACCATACAAGGATGTGACAGAAAACGATATTTTAAATCGATTGCAGATTACACTGGCTACTTAGAGTGACTCATCATGTGCTACAACTTTCTAGTGGTAACATTTACTATTGTAAAACACTTGGAAACATATTGCTTCACTTCTGCAGCTGGAACACAACTAAAGAATACCCTTAATATCAGCTATCGTCAAAATGTGACTGTCGCTTAAGAGATTCTGGTCACAACCGCGTTTTTATGAATGTAAATTCTGCAGACCAAGCAGTTCAACATTGGTCCCAGAGTCACAGCACTGCAACATGTAATTTACACAATAAGCATACCAAAGCCAACGTCGTACTTACCATGTCAGCAACCTTAAGGTATCCATAAGAGAAGACTATGGCATTGGGAGGAGTTGCGACAGGCAGCATGAAGGCAAATGAGGCACTTAGGGTACAAGGAACCATGACGTACAGCGGGTTGATTCCAATGGACTGAGACTGCAATAATCACACACAAGGTATCAGCAGTCTGACTCACGGATGAATACAGCCTTGATCACAACATCCTCCACTACTCTTTCTGGCTATTTTTCTGCAACCTTAATCACCAGCTCATAACTCAGAATGAAATGTATGCAATTCTGTGTGCAGGGAAAACTCTCATTAGGTGTGTGTAATTAAGATGTAATTCCTGCTGGCCCTGTGCTGAGTCATGATATTTAAAATAGAAACGTACTACATATGTGGAGATAATGGCAGACTTTAAAGTTGCAAAAGACATTACTCAGTGGAATTTGCTTCTGAATTACATGTCCTGCAGCACACTAGCTTACAAGTGCACAGTAATTTCTGGTTCTCAAAATAACCAAAGGGTGAAAAGACCTAAACTTTATGTTTAGTCTTTGTTAAACTTCAGCTGTATATCAGGTCACCAGGATGACAGTATTTTGTCTTGTCAAGAGTCTCTTGACAGGATGACACACAAAGTGACATGACACAAGCCACCGTTGCCACAAAATGTTCTCACAATGCCTTTAACTGTTTGTGTGAATCTGACTAAAGTACCTATTCTCCCTTTCTTCACTTTCTGTTTGTATTTTCAAGGGCTAAACACAGAAGGGTTGATCATCCTTGTGCATCTACTTGGCTTTTCCCTCAAGATATCAATAAATGTGAAAACCACTACTTGCGTTTCAGACCTCGTTTTGGCATTCTCTCCAGTGCTCAGCTAGTGGGCACAGAAATGCTATTCTTCAGAAGAAGCAGCAGCAGGGAGGGCACTGTTACAAGGCACTGGACTGAATTGGTGTTTGGCAGGTTATTAATGGGAGAAGGGGCCCACAGAAGGGGGCCAAACATATTCAGCCTGAATGACCAACAAGATGGGTAACCAAACCAAAACGTGGGAAAATGGACCAGCTCTCACTGGGAGTAGTTTCAATGGTGAACTCCAGCTGGGGGAAAGAATTTACGCTAGGAAGCACTTAACCTAACTGAGCTATTGCACCCAAACAGTATTTTCTGTCCTCTCCCACACCATCTATATTTCACTTGCTCTATACTGCTTCACTTGCTTACCATCGAAGCTAAGACGGGTAGGAAGAGCGTTGCAGTGGCTACATTACTGGTGCATTCTGTGAATGTGGCAATCAGCAGGCATAAGACAATGGCAATTGCCCAGGGAGGGATGCTTTGCAGAGGAGCCATCTGATCTCCCATCCACTTTGATAGTCCAGACACCTAAAGACACAACAAAACAAAGTGCACATTTACTTTGAGGAGACTGCGATTCAGGTTTGGTCACAATATATTGCATCTGCTACAATGCAACCGTATGTGCAGAACACCAAAAACATCTGAATCCAGAGATTTACTAATCATTTGATTTGCATAAAACTTTAAAACTGCATTAGGAGATTAAAGGGAAAAAAAGCATGATGCTGATACCATTAAAAACAGATTAAATAGCTGGTCGATTTGATAAATACCTCTATGAATCCTCATGCCTCTAAAATAAACTAGCAGAATCAGAATCTCAAGACACTGAATGGCTATTGTGAAGTTCAAAATTTCTTGAAAGATTGTTATTGGTCCCACAACCATTGCATCTAACAACTGCCTTTGTAACTTACTTCACTGCCCTTAGCCAGAGCAAACCCTCCTCCAAGAAGAAGCACAATACCCCAAGGTAATTTCTTTTGGGCAGCTTTCCAGCTGAGGAGACGAGGTGTTGGGCCAGCAGTTTGATGAGATGCTACAGATCAAAGAAACGAATCATCAAAGTTTAATTACAGCATAGCCTACTCTTCCCAAACTTATTAGAATGGGAAACACAACATTCTTCAGAAATGATGGCTCACCTATGTCAAAACTATGTGTCCTAAAAGAACACAAGCGTGGAGGTTTGGAGGGCAGAACAAAGAGAAGGACTGCGACAAAGACTGCCACCGTGGCATCTGATACATACCTGAAGGATGGAGTGAAAGCAAAAATCAAATACCACAGTTTTATAAAGTAAATTTATGAATGAATAAAACTTAGGTGTTGAATTGTATGTTTTTCATAAAAATATGTATACAAACTCTGCTTGGGAGTTGAAGATATCTGTTGCCCAGCCACTGACAAAGCCTGGATCCCTTGTGAACCACAGCAACACGAGCAAAATGAAGAGACACAGGACGCTTATCTCTCCAAAAGACATCGGCCCCAGCAGGCGATGCTGTTCACGGATCACATTATATGCAGCAATCTCCTTTTCTGTCTTCACAGCCCCACAGCCCCATGTCTTCTTAAAGCTGGAGGATCACATGGGAAGAAAAGTCTTTGTGTCACTTCTACACTCACTCACAGGCTTAGTGCGGTAAAAAGTTTCTTGGTGGTGATTCAAGTCTCTGTCACTTATAATCAGGCTTTAAGCATTATCAAACTCACTTGAATCCCATGAAGACAAACTGCAGCCAAAGCCATGCCAGTGTGAGCATGATGATCATGTTGGGGAAGGCAAAACCGAACCAGGACGCAAAGTTAATAATGTCCCCGTTTTCTGGAAACAATCTAATACAAAAGAAAATACAAACGTGAGGAATATATAAATACACATGATTTGAAATATTGGCACAATACTAATAACTGATAAGAGGACACTCACTGGTTCATCTGGCCCATGAGCACCAGATTGGGACCAGTTCCTGTCAGTGTGGCTGTTCCTCCGATGCTGGCAGCATAACAAACACACAGGGTCATGCCTTTACACATTCTCCGCCGTTCTGCTGCCTCCTTATGCCTGACAGCCTCAGTCGTGGCATCTAAGAAAGTCACTACTACTGGGCCTTTAAACAAAGAGAAAGAAATAAAAAGGGGCTACTAGCAGCTTTATAAAAGTCTTTGACGCTGTTGATTTTTATTGATTTTGTGTCCTAGCCAAACATAAACAAGTTACAAAGGGCTCACCTTGTCCCTCATTCTGTTTCTCTGTTTGTGAATCAGCTTTATTGTCAGTCTCTGATGTTTGGACCTGCTCATCCGAGCTGAAGATTTGAGGCATTTCTGGCTCACTGGTGTTTAGCTGTTCCAGCACTGCTTGGACAATTGGCACCATCATAGCTGTGGTAGCGGTGTTACTGATCCACATGGATAAGAATGCTGTTACACCCATGAAGCCCATCATCAGTCTGCCAAGAAGATAGAGTAAAATTAATAGTAAATTAAGAAAAAAAATCAGAAAGGTGCTCTTCGTGCTCTTGGGACAGAACATGAAGTATGTTAAAGTTTTATGATGGGAGTGAAAGGATTATTTTTTTAATCTACATCGTATCTGTGCTTTTGATGTCATAACAGATCTGAAAGGTAATTAACCGCTCACAGTGCTGGACGCACACCAACAATGAGTAGCACCCTCAAAGCTATGCGCTTGTGCAGATTCCAGTGCTCCACGGCTACAGCAACCATGAGTCCTCCAACAAACAACATGTTTGTGTCCTTTAGGTACTGCATACACACCTGAGACAAAGGGATCACACTGGATAAGATGTATGCACACATAAATAAGCCTATACACTGTGGCATATTTTTCTTACTTACATCTTTGGACTCCATGATGCCAAATAAAGGGAAAAGGAGAGCTGGAAGCAAAGCGGTTACAGCCAGAGGTAGAACCTCTGTGCACCAGTACACTGCCATCAGGATTATCACATAAGCACATTCTGCCACCTGCAATAAGAAAAAATTATAACATACAGACAACTGCACAAAACAAAGACATTACATTCAGTCTGTGTCAGCAACTTATCTATGAAAATCTGACTTAAGTTCATAAACAGCTAAGATCAATAATTATGATGCAATTTTAATGAGACACTATGATAGTTCAAAGGGTGAAGATAAGATAATCTGTAGTGTCTCATCGCCAGGTTCTACATCTGTCGGGATAATATAAGTGAGATCTAGACAAAACTTGGATGGTCAATGATACTATCTTATTTAGAATTGTTTCATTCTGGTTAAATATCAGCTGCTTGAAAAACCGATTTTTCTTTTTTTTTAATGCTTCGTATTTAAACCTGTGCCAGTGATAACATGCTTGCAACCTGTGATTTTTTTGTCGCTGTGACCCACGACGCGTAAAGAGCCCTTTTTACTCTGTGGCCCCACGCTTAAGCTTCATGCTACCAAAAAGAAGTTAAATTAACAGAACCGGAGAACACACCAGCCAACACTGGACAGCTCTCGTGCACTCGCTCCAAGCGCTGTGCACTTGACCGCGCATCAACAGGTGCAAAAGACCTAGTGCAAATTAAAATGCGCGAAAGGTAAAATCTCACTTAATTTCAGTTCATTCAAGTTCTTCAAGTAAGTAACATCTCTCTCATTAAAATTACTTTATTCTTTCATCCTTTCTTATCAGTGTTTAGTTTTAAGCCAAACGCAGATTAATTACATACCTGTGTCCCGATCACCAAAGGCAGTGGAAGAAGAAGTAACGGAGTTATGAAGAGGATCACTTCATTTTTGACAGAGTAAAGGCATTTCAAGAATGCCATGTTGAAAGGAAAATGGAGA